CGGGCAGCAGCAGCTGGCTCCACATCGAAACGGTCGCTTTGAAATGGCTCGGGCCTGTGCGAAACCCGCCACCCCAAAAACCTGCAGTGTCTTGTGTCTGGACCGGTCCGGACTGTCCGGTGGGGTGAAACGACATTGAAAAATCAACCCATTATTTTTCTAGGGTAGGCCAGGACCCGATAAACGTCCTGGGCCGCCCCAATTTTTTTATTTTTATTTTGCCCCAGAGGCCTCAATCCAGACATATTGTCCAGACACCAGACACCAGACACCGGACACCGGACTGTCTGGAACCCGGTCCGGACGTCCGGACGGTTACCATGGAATTTTGTTAAAACTTAAAAATTAAAACTGGTAAATTACTAAATTGAATTCAACTGAAAAGATGTGTTCAGCGCACGACAGAGAAAACTGTAAACCACAGGCAAGAGTGTAAAGAGCTGTAGCAAGATTGTAAAGAGCTGTAAATTACTAAATGAATGCAAATTGCCGGCTATAAATGGCAGAGCTCCGTCAGTGGGTTCTTTATTTCATATCGGCCTTGATTACCATCGTCCCCGCGGACAACGCACGCTAATCCTCACCGTATCGGACGAGACACATCAGGTTGTACATAGCCATGATCATGTACACATTCATTATCAGGGGAACACAGTCAGGTTGTACATAGTCATGATCATGAACACATTCATTATCAGGGGAACACAGTCAGGTTGTACATAGTCATGATCATGTACACATTCATTATCAGGGGAACACAGTGCATGATATCCAGGGGAAGACCGCAACTGGAAATCAGGAATACACCAACTGACGTAGCTCAGTTGGTACACCCACAAACACCAACTGTGGAAATACAGACCCAAAGTTCCAATCCAGATGCAATCATCTGTGTGCTGTCTCTTATACACATCTAGATGTGTATAAGAGACAGGATTGAGGGAGCAAAACAGAGGAGTGAAGGACGACCTGCAGTTGCCTTGATTGACAGGCACCAGTCCATTCACTGTAGAATAGGAGATGAAGTCATGAAAGTCAGCGTCAGTATTTACAAAGTTTTAGTCTTTCCATAAACTCATATGACATATCCAAATTTCCAAACAATAACATCCGTCTGACTCGGTCATTGGAATGAGAACAGTCGTAAACTCCTTAAACGAGGATCCATTGGAGGGCAAGTCGAGTGCCAGCGGCCACGGGAAAAAAAATAATAAAAAAATTTGTCTAACGCACATCCCCAGTGAGAGCGCTTATGCATGTCAACAGTGTTCTCGTCATGAAAAGCCTTCACAGCACTGAAAATACAGAGAAGTTGGGAGAACGCTTAGAGCAACGAACAGCTTTAGGCTTTAGCTTTTTGGAACGAAACATGAATATAGTAAATCAACAATATACCTAGGCGGCCGTTTTGGCGGGCGCCCAGGCACCCAACTTGTCACCGACCAGACGCCGGGCATGAACCCCAGGCAGGAGGGATCCGGGTAGCCCAAGCGCAACCAAAAAAAAAAAAAAAAAAAAGTTTTCCAGAAAACAATTTCATTTTTTATGTCAGAGAAACAAAAAATCCTTCACGCATATTATCCTTTCTTGCTGAAAATGTTTAGTTCTAATAAGCAGTCTCGCCCTTTTTGCTGTAACTTACTTTCTTCTTCTTCTTCTTTTTTTTTTTTTGCTGTAACTTACTAACTTTTGAAAAAAACAAAGACAAATCGCAGGAGGCGACACTGTACTCGAGAACACTAGTAGAAAGACCAAAATGCCAAAAAAATTAAAGTTTAAACTTACTTTAAACAAACAAACATATACAATTTGAAACAAAGAAACAAAAAATTAAATTCACAATTTAATATCATTAAAATTTAAAATAATATCTGGTGGGAACAGAGTGTGTATGGTTGTCCTTTGGGCATTACAACCGTTACAACTGGAACAACAGTACAGTACAGAGAAGATGCAGGCAAGATGTGGAGAAGTTAAAAGGGCGTCTATCGCGACTCTCCACATGCACAAAAGACAAAAAAAACGGCCACGTACCGTCCCGTGTTCTAGCGGAAGATTCATTCTCATTTTGCACATTTGTTGAGTAGCGGAGCGGGCGCAGAGGTACAAAGAAGATACAGAGTAGAGGAGTACACCGAAGATTCAGAGAACATACAGGGAAGATGGGACAGGAAAGAGAAAAGGAATATTCAGAGAAGATACAGGGCAGAAAGCCACAAGGAACATGGAGAAGATTGATTAATTAGCATGTATGCGCTTTATTTTCAATGATGCCACTCACTAAAGAGAAATGGTTCAAATTAAACCAAAAAAAAAAAAAAAAGAGAGAGGGAAGAAGAAGAATACATATATGTAGTCAAACAGACTATATAGGGCTCAGCCTCCTGATGAGTCGGTGAAACTCCGACGAAACAGTTTGTCACAACCCCTCCTCTGTCGTCCTCTTCTCCCTCCCTCTCTGCCTACGGTTTACCGTAGGCAGCTCTCTCTGTTTAACGATATATACCTGATCCTCACGCAAATGGTCCTTCTCCACTTTTGCAGGGCTCTGTAAGACACGGTTTGGGAGCAGAAAACAACGAAACGAGTGTCAAGACATAGAACGACCCATCGCACACACAGAAAAAGTGCAAACAACAACAACAACAACAACAAAAAAAAAAAAAAAAAAAAAACCAGCAGAATTTTGCATGGTAACCGCGGACCCGGACACCAGACACTTCCGGACTGTCTTCCGGACCAGTGTCTGGACTGGTCCGGACTGTCCGGTGATCCGGACATCACCGGACATAACCGGACACCGGACAGTCTGGACCGGTCCCCGGGGTGCAAACAATGTCCGGCCCAAAAAAANCTCCCCTTTCATCATCGACTTCAAACCTCCTGCCATCATATAAGATCACAGAGGTTTAGCGAGGCCAAATCCGAAGCCCAGGTCCGGAATACCTCACCGATACACAACGTCTCAACGACTTCGTGAGGCCAGATCAGAAGCCCAGGCGAGGACTACCCTTCCACGACTTGCGGACGTGCACCTACCTTACACTAACGTCAGATTGGAAAGCGCAGGTTTGACTCACTATTTTGGCTCGCATCACCAGCCATTTTCGTCCCGCGGCATCATATGGTTTATCCGAAGAACGCAGATTTTGTCGAGTCTTCGCTTTTCATCTCAAGGTTGCCTTCACGAGGTAGTAGTGGTGGTTCAAGCAGCTTAATGTCTCTTTTTTCAAGTATCTTAATCTCTCATAACTCTCATTGATGTCTCTTAAAACACCAGAACCTCGCCCAACCTCGCCCATCCATGCTTTCCGATACAGTCGTACCGCACTACCATACCAAAATGGCTGGCAGCGCCAGCCAAAAGAAGGGCCGCGCCGACTTTTTTTCTTTGGGCGCGCGCCGCGCAGGGCGTCTCCAGGGTCTGAATAATGTTGGCAGCCAAAGGTTGTTGTCTTTTTTTGGCGCGCGCCACGCAGGGTGTTTCCAGATCTCTAAAGGAAGAGAAGTGAACTTACCGCGAGATAGTCGAAGAGGATCAAGCACTGCACCAGGAAATGTCTCCGGAAGTTGGGATCCCTGATCTGACACACAAAAAAGGACAACACGGAGCGCACACACACACACACACACAGCATCCAAACAGACACAACGACGCCATTTGTCCGAATCATCGCCCACCAAATGGGTTGGAAAGCTAGAAGCAGGGTAAGAGAGATGATGCCCATTTGGACATCCAATGATCAATTACATAATTAGAACAACACACAGAAGATCAGCACAGCTAGCCACAGCGGAAGATCAGGGTTGTGCCACTTGCCAGCAAATTGGGCAAGTACTCAGTGCCCAATGGATCGTCCGTACATTCCTCCGTGTCTGCGACTGATTATTGGCAGCAGCCATTGGCAGAATAAGCAGTCATTGACTCCCCCTGCGATATACACTGACATTCATACATGTTCCAGGGTACATCTACAAAAATGTGAAGGGTGCTTGATGGCATATAGTCTCACAACTACACAGGAGCTGTAAGCACCTTCCACAGTGCCCAGGACAAACCTCCAATTCCGACACGTGGCCGTTAGACAGGGTCTCCTATTGGAGATGATATGACCATATGTCTTCTTTTTCTTATTCTGATTCTTGTGCTGCTTCTTGTGCTTCATCTTCTTCTTCTTAGCTCCTTCCTTCCCATTCCTTCCCGTCTTTCTCTCTCCACGACTCTCCGCAATTTCGCCCTGACCAAACCCCCAACAATGATATGTGTGGCTGTTTATTCTCAAGTCATTCCCATCATCCCAGCAGGACCAATGCTCGTGTATACTTGCTAGGAAATCATCATTCATGGCTGAACGTACGTGTCTTCTTCTTCTTCTTCTATTTCTTCTTCTTCTTCTTCTTGTCCTTATTTGTGTCCTTATTCTTGTCCTTATTCTTGTCCTTATTCTTCTTAACCCCTGCCTCCTTCCTTCTGCTTCCGTCCCCTCTCTCTCCCTCTCCCATTCTCTGCAATTGCCGAGAACAATATCAACATGTGGCGTTTTTCATCATCCCCATCATCCCAACACCACCAATTGTCTTGACCAGCTGCTAACATTCAACACTCATGGCTGAGTGTCTTCTTCTTCTTCTTCTTCTTCTTCCTCCTCCTCCTCCCCCCCCTCCCCCCCCTCATCCTCGTCATTTCCTCTCCATTTCCCCCTTCCTCTCTCTCACCACTATCATTGCAGACCGGACAGGCAAGCACCAGTAGAACAGAGAACCAACCAACCTGTAGGCTCATCAGCTTCGTGCTCGTGAGATATTTGGTGTTGTACGTCAGGTCATCGCCATCGACTAGAGCATCGTCTGCAGCCTCGTCATCCCCTGTGAGTCGTTGGCTCTCAAACACGCTTAGCACTGCCTGTAAGATAACCGTACACATGGAAGAGATGGATGTAATCGATAGACGCTAATGGATAAAGGCAACGATCAATAGGATGACTTGAAGATCAAACGGATGACGAGAGAATATCAAACATACTTCCATTGATGTGGTGGCAGTTCAATATTTCGCCGTTAAGCTAATGGTGGCAAGAAGAAGGTTGTGGACTTCATGTAGCTCACCACCAATACAATTGCATGGGTATGGAAGAAAGCAGCACAAATCACATGAACATTGAACACAAAGAAAAGTAGCGGGATGGAAGCTGAGGTAGGATGCATGAGAAGGGGACAGATGTAAAGGGACTACCTTCTTCTCCCGAATACAACGTAATATGGCTAGGCTACCAGAGTGGCCCGGGGCAAATTGCCCGGACGGGCAAAAAAATATATATATATTATATATTTTATTATTTTTAAAAAATATTTTTAACTTTTAATTTTTATTTCAAATTTGGTGAAGTATTTTGATGTGATCCTGAGGCAAAAGTTGTTCAGTTTATTTTTCTGCATAACATAGTTTTGTTTTGAGATTTTTGGGAATTGTTTTTTTTTTTTTTTACATAGTTCCTTTTTCAGATTTTTGGGATTTCTTTTTTCTTTTTTTCCAGGACCTTTCTTGGTCCTTGCACGCCCGGCCCGCCCGGGAAAACAAGGTGACCCGGGCGGCCTGGCTGGTAGCCTAGATGTACGGTCATTACAGCTGTATTTAGACTGAAAGATGCCCCAAATACAGCTATAATGACCGTACATTGTATTTGGAGGAAGAATGGATCCAAAACGGAATGAATCTGAGCGCAATGCGAGGGAAGGGGGAGAGCAGGGTGTGATCATAACCTAGCCAACCGGCGAAGGGACCAAAGAAAGAAAATATTAAAATAATCGCAACAGTGGCGCAACACAAGCAAAAGCAGCGGAAAGACAGTTTGCAGAAACGCCCTTCAAGCCATCCATTAAAATTTGAGCGATACAGAGAGGATTAGCATGGCCGCTGCGCAAGAGACGGAAAAATAAATTAACAAAATGAAAAGTGGGTCTGAGCTGGGTGTGGTTGGAAAATATTTGGTAGTGTAGGTCTAGGTCAGGTCTGGGTTGTCTGGAAGACAAGGTTTGTGTCTCTGAGAGGAAACAGAACACAAGGGAGAAGGAGTAAGGGGGTAGAAGGAGAGGGAAGGGGAGGGGGAGGGGGACGGTAGGGGGAAGAGCAGATCCTCAACCGAACAGGTGTGAACGATGTACTGAAGCGGAGTGAGAAGGAACCGAAACGAAGGGGGCAGCGAGGATGGGGCAGAGACTGGAGAGAGGTGGTGGAGGGGACGGGGGGGGTGGGGTGTGGGGAGGTAAACACTCGAGGACGATGCATATCAGTGTGTAGTTACACAAACTGGGGAGAGCTCAATACCTGGAGGTCCCTTGAGAATGCTTGAAACGTTGACGCGACCAGCGCGCTTGGTGGATTCCTAAAATAGTTCTGCAGAATCAGGAAATCAGGCAATAGCACAGAGTCATCAACCCTGTCTTCTCGAGTAAGAGGAAGAACCGTCGAAGTGTGATTTTTTCGAGGGTGGGAGAACGGAGAAAAAAAAAGAAAAAAAACACTTTATGGTACCGGGCCATTGGGGGACCATTTGCACTGGCAGGATGGGAAAAACTGGCAAAGACCACTTTTTGGAGGGTACCCGGTTAGACCGCGAGTAAAAAAGCACCGCACGGCGCACGGCATAATCTTCCCATTTAATAAGCGAAACAAACGGGAGCGACAGATAAAGAAAACCCAAAAGAAGTAGTCTTGCCTGCAAGCCCCAGAACATCTTGTAGAATTTGGCATCCAAGTCCGTTCCTGCAAGGATTGACAACACAACAGAAATGTCTCACATCAGTTCTTCAGAAGATCACAGCCATTGAAGATCAAACATTACAGAGAGAAATTAGCACGGTCCCCTGCATGAGGACAACACTAACAAACAATGGGAAAGTTCCAAACGTACGGGAAAAAGAAGCTAATCTTATAAGGAACAAGTGGCTGGACACTGCTCTCTCTCTCTCTCTCTCTCTCTCTCTCTCTCTCTCTCTCTCTCTCTCTCTCTCTCTCTCTCTCTCTCTCTCTCTCTNCACTTAGAATCAAAGTGGTGGTTAATATGGAACTTGAAGGAAACCTGTAGGTCTCTCCAACTAAGTACAGCAAAAGAGACCCTTTGGCGTCACCAAGCGCAGGTATTGAGCAATCATTTCCACCAAGCGTCTAGTCCATGGTCTCATCATTCGAAAACGGCCTTCAAAAGAGTCTCTCTCTCTCTCTCTCTCTCTCTCTCTCTCTCTCTCTCTCTCTCTCTGTGTGTGTGTGTGTGTGTGTGTGTGTGTGTGTGTGTGTGTGTGGCATACTGATACCACACGGACCCCAGTTAGGGCCCGGTTCCATAGTTAGGCTAGTTTAGGCCTAAGGACCAGGAACTCGCACAACTCTTGCACACCGGCTGGTTTTGCAGCCACGGTGTTCCGGAAGACATCGTCAGCGACCGCGACACTCGTTTCATGTCAGCCTTTTGGACGCCACTCATGGTGGAATCCGGCACCAGCATGAAACCGAGTTCCGCACGGCATCCTCAGACGGATTGGCAAACGGAACGTGCGCACCAGACTGCGCAGATGATGCTCAGCACACTCATCCGCCCGGATCAGAAGGACTGGGTTGACCGCCTTCCCGACATCGAGTTCGCCTACAACACTTCGGTGCACCCGGCGATCGGCGTGACTCCTTTTGAGTTGCATCACGGTGGACGGAAAGGCCGTATCTTCGCAGACATTTTGCTTCCACAGACTGCCAATATCAACACCGTTTGCTCCCCCGCTTCTACACGGAAGTACAGGGAACTACTGGCCAAAGCCCGCGCAAACATGCAAAAGGCTCAGGTCCGTATGCAGCAGCAAGCGAATCGGTGTCGCATTCCATGTCCAATCCGCGCCGGCGACCTTGTTTGGGTCACCTCCGAGGAATTCGCGCTCGAGAAGCACGTCTCGCGCAAGCTCCTCCCTAAGTGGTTTGGTCCATGGAAGGTCACCTCGGCAGCTGGCGACGACCCCCCGGGTCCCTCTTTCATAATCGAGATTCCCCTGCATTTGACGGTCCACCCAGTATTTCACGCTTCAAAGCTGGCGGTCTATACTCTAGCCTCACCGGCGGATTTCCCGAGCAGACGGTCACACGACCCTCCATCAATGGACGGTCACCAGGAGGTCGACCACGTCCTCGCTCATCGCAAGCACGGCAACAAGCCAATGCAGTACAAAGTTACATTCAAGCAATGTGATCCCGACGACACATGCTGGATTTCACGAGCTGACCTGAAGGCGACAGCACCCCTTATCTTCGCGCATTACAAAAAACAGCGACTTGCTAAGGAAGCTGCCCAACCCGCCCGCCCCGTGCGGACATCGGACAGACAGCTTCGCCCTCGCAGTTAGCTCGGTCTTCAAGGGGGGGAGTGTGTGGCATACTGACACCACTCGGGCCCCAGTTAGGGTCCGGTTCCATAGTTAGGCTAGTTTAGGCCTAAGGACCAGGGGTCACGACGTTTCAGACCATAGGTCGGCCCAGAGGCCGACGAGGCCAACCGCCACAAGGGCCAGGCCAGTACCGGTCCAACACTAGGACCTACCGGCGGCGCAGTTTCAAGGCAGCCACATTTAGGCGCCAATTTCAGATTCGAATCTGAACCGTTGATCGGATCAACGGTCCAGACCCGAAGGCACTGGTAGGACTGAGGCCGGCCCAGCACTATATTAGCTGGGTACCAGCCTCAGTAGGGTAGGTTAGTAGACAGGAGGTTAGTCTACGGTTAGTCTACGAGTTAGTCCTCGGGATTAGCGCAGCATTTCAGCGAGAAGAGGAGCAGCGAAAAGGGATTAGCGCAGCAGCAAGGAGGAACAGCGCAGCAGCACCTTAGCGCAGCGGTGGGATAGCGCCAGCCTCTGGCCCAGTCCGCGACCCAGCGCCCAGCCCTGCAGCGCCATAGCTGCATAGCAAGGTACCAGGAAGAAAGGCTTCGCCTTTCCTCCCTCTTCTTCCTCCTCTGCTCTCTCTCTCTCTCCCTCTCTCTCTCTCCTCTAAGTCTAAGACTACTTCTTGGATTACGCTACTGGACTACTACGACTACGAAGGATGGTTACGGGTTCTGATGATACTAGAGGTAGCGACATTGAGACTGCAGGTTGAGCACTATTTTGAGATCCGACTTCATCTACCTCTGAGGATGTATCTTGACATTGTGAGGACGATATCTGAGACACTGTGAGACTCTGTGTTCGCGACATTTCGGATTTTCGCTATTTCTGACATTTAGAGATGCTATCTTTGGAAAACATTGAGTTGGCGTCATCTTCCCTCTCCTCCTCCCTTCGTCTCTCCTCCCCTCCATTCATCCGTGTATGAGAGTTACCCCTGGCCTTCCCTTCTAAGTCCAAGGCCAGGGCTTCACACCACCGATGTATGTTTGTGAGTGTTTCGTTGCAGTCTGAGTCAGGTCCGGGTCAATCCATGTATCTCAAGTCTTCCGCTGTATCTGTATTTGTATGTACTCTGTATTATCTGGTCGGTTCTGGGAATCTGCGCCATACTTATGACTGTGTTTCACTAGTATGCAACTCTCTGTCTGTCTCTCTCTCTCTCTCTCTCTCTCTCTCTCTCTCTCTCTCTCTCT